GGATTTAGGAGTGGATACTAATTTGTGATGCTTACAAAGAAAGTACTATATGAGAATGGTGATTTTTGATCACACCAAATTTTGAAAAAAATGCACAAGATAAAAATTCTTAGCATTTTAAAAATTTTATTTTTTTAATCCCTTTTAGTAACATTGGGTTTTATTAGTGAGAGAAAAATTATGTATTTTACACTGCTGGCCCAGATTACTTAAGACCAAATTCTTCTGGGTGCTCGTGAGCGTCTCCTTTGGCATTTGGTCTCTCAGCATTAAATATACATTTTCTTCCAAAATATATTAAAGACCATGGGGATATTAAATAAAACAGGTATTTCTTTCTGTATTACTTTTAATACTTGTCATCCACCCACCAATATTGCTTTTATTTTCCACTGGAATTTTTTTTTTAAATGTTATTCTATTGTGTAATTTGGTATATAGGCACATCTTTATTCTGTGTCCTCATTAAAGAGGAGACAGAATGGCTGCTTCTGCTTGTATTCAAATAGCATAATAGGTATTTTTCTTACTCTCCATCCTGTACCCTTTGTACAGAGCTTGCTGTGGCTATGGTCTCTCTGTAAGTTGTATTTGCTGACTTTCGTGCCTTTTAAGAAAGAAGAAATTTCTGGTAACTTATTTCATTTGCAGGGTACTTATTGGTTCACCATTAGTTGGCCAACCTGAGAAAAGAACAGGAGATGTATACAAGTGCCCTGTAGGAAGGGACAACCACTTCCAATCACCCTGCGTAAAACTGAACTTACCAGGTATGAAAGAAAATAAAGCTGTGTCACGTGGAGGAATAATAGAGGTCAGATCTTAGGAGATTTTTAGCTGGTAAATGTGCATTAAAATTGTTTCAATGCAGAAAATTTCCATAGGTCTCCAGAGCTAAATGTGAAGGAAGTTGTGTCTGTAACGTCAAAGATAATTTTATTTTAAAGCTTCTTGTTGTTCTATGGAAAACATGATCATAATTTTAGAATGGGCATTTGGCTGTGTTATCAAAACTTTATTATGACTGGCATTAATTGACTGTGGTTAGCAGTCCTGGCCATGGAGCCAGAAAGGCTGTGGAGCATAGATTCATGGATTACCCTTTCCAAAGTTCTCTGAAGCCAACAAAAGCCTTCATAATGCCATCAGTAACCCTTTGATGAGAATGTAACTAGGCAGAACCAGGCTGATGCATCTTAATATGATGCAGGTACACATTAATAATTTTCTTGTTCGTGTAAAGAGATAAGCAATGTAGACAGGAAGAGACTTCCTGTTAATATGAATTTCACTAAATACACCTCTCTTGGTATTTTTTATCTCTTTTTTTTTTTTCTCCCTTGAAAGCCTAAATGTCAGTAATGTAACATAACAGTAACAAATCTAAAAGCTGTTATGTATAGCAGGCCAGGATAAAATAATGAATGTTTGTTTTCTAATTAACAAAACTGTGTGAACAGTAATCTCTTGCTTTCATGATGTGATGTTATTTTTACTTTTTTTCTTTTTGGTGGTTCAAGAAAAGTATTTGAGACAGCAACCCAGACAAACTTTCTGGGATAAAAGCCAGTCTCAGAAATTTTTATTGATTGTGGCAATTGAAGGAGGAAGGGTACTAAAATATTTGATGAAACCAGTGTCAGTCTGGGATTTATTTTAGAAGCTGGAAGATCCATGCTAGGGGATATACACTTTAACATTTTGTTTTCATGTTCCCAAATACTTAACATTTTAATCTATTTATAGCTGCTACTTCAGTTCCTAACGTCGTGGAAGTAAAAGAAAACATGACTCTTGGAACAACCTTAGTGACTAACCCAAAAGGAGGCTTTCTGGTAAGAAAGGACTTTTTGCCAATTTTGAAGGAAGTCTGATTTTTCCTCAGTTACCATAACAAAAACATTTCATCCCTTTTCATCTTTTAAAGGCATGTGGACCACTTTACGCTTATAAATGTGGACGTTTGCATTACACAACTGGAGTTTGCTCTAATGTCAGCTCCACTTTTGAATCCGTTGAGGCGATTGCTCCATCTGTGCAAGGTATGCATGCCACAGGAATTCTCTTGTGTGTCTGAGAATACCAAGTGCCAAACAAGACAAATGTATACACATAGGCATACCAAAAAGTACGAACTGCTTAATTTAGCTACCAGCATTACCAAGTTAAGTAAATGTTTTCATTGTCTGTATTATGACCTAAATTCTTGCTACTTTTGGAATTTGTCTCAGTATAAACAATCAGTAGAGCGCTATGTGACATCCAAACACAATTGCTAAAAATAGTTGCTTATGTTTTTTACTTATGGCCAAAAGACTCTTTTTAAGTAATGACGACATGTTAAGACTTAATACAAACCCAATTTAGTAATATAGATAAAAATCTTAAAGACCTGGTCCTTGGGCAAAATCGAAGACCAACAGATTAGTATTGAAGAAGGTAGGGGTCACTGGTAAATACTCCAGTTATGTGATCTTCTACTCCCATTCTTAAATTTCTGCTTACAAGAAAGTGCCTTGCTGATAAAGGGAACACAAACCATGTAAAACACGATGCAAAAGTTCATCAATGACAGTTGGCATCAAACATGTCAGTTCTGGCCCACTGCAGGAGAATATGCATTTGTTACTAACCACAAAAGTAACTGAAGCTGTGAGATATATTTGATCCTTGTTAGTATCAATTCTTATGTGGCAATTTGTGTTGCAGAGTGTAAAACTCAGTTGGACATCGTCATAGTCCTTGATGGGTCCAACAGCATTTATCCATGGGAGAGTGTCACAGCCTTCCTAAACAGCCTCCTGAAAAACATGGATATAGGTCCTCAGCAAACACAGGTAACATAGTAAATATATTATGGTTGTTTAATTTGCAAGAAAAAAAATAGTTTAAAGGAAATGGGATGAGAGCACATCTATGGAGCTCTTCAATTCCAAGAACTTAACAGCAGTGGGGTATTAAAACAAAATAGCTGAAACCACAACTAAGTCAGTGTCTGCTGCCAAGCAGCAATGTCAGGGAGGGTCTGCCTCCCTGCACCACTCAGGCAGTCTGGAGAAACTGACTTTCTAACCTAGAGACAAAAGTTAAGTGTGTCGAGGCCATTTGCACGTTGTCCTTTCCCACTTCCTTCCTCTCCACAACCACTTCTTCTTTTGTACTTCATAGCACAAATGTCATTTCTGCACCTCTAAGGCACACATGCGTAGTTCAGACAGCCTTTGGTTATAAGATTTTTGGAGCAACTTTCCCTATTTTGTGCTGTGCAGCATTGGGCACACAGCTTTTAAACACTTGAAATCATAATTAACGAGTGGCTGTTAAGCCACATGTTATTAATGGCAGAAGCTGCATTTATATAATAAGTGGAGAGGGCCAAATTCCCAGCTGCTATAAATCAGTGCATTTCCACCAGAATTAATGGAGCTACAACCAATTACCCTAGCTGAATATATGACGTATGTTTCACAGCCTGCTGAAAAATACGTAAATAGCAGTTCCAGCAGAACTTGGGGAAGGGGGAAACATGGATGCTGGGAGACATTTTAACACAGAAAGCTTTAACAGCAACAGAACAAATCAGGTCTTACTTTCACTTCTCCCTTTTCCCCCTCCCAAAATCAAGGATTTTCTGAGATCCTGTATAATATTTGATATGCTAGAGGCCAATATTTAGCATTTTTGCTACTTCAGGTTAGCTTCTAACATTCAGCTCCTGCCTTCATAAAGGAGCCTGTGAGAAGGTGCAAAGGATACTTCTGTCTTCAGAGAGTATCCCCATCATTTTCCAAGTTAACTGGGGTTTATGAGTTACCACCCAACTCCCCTGTTGGCCGTACCGAACACTGGCTGATAAAATTATTACTTATAAACTGTCAACTTTACAATTGTGCCCTGTTATTTTAAACACACTGTTCTTCCAGATACTGTGAGGAAGAAGGAAAAACACTTTGTCAAATCTAACAGAAAGGAAAAATAAATTTAATAAATTCTTCCTGATCCCTTAAGCTGGTGATTATTCAAACATGTGCCATCCTGGGAAAATACTTAAACCTGGACTTCCCAATGTGGGGCAATGGCTGCATGGAAAACATGCTGCCTTCTGCCCAAAGGGCTTCATGGGAATGGTACACAGGGCAATCAACTCTACTGCACCCTCACTCTTCTTCCTCACCCTGCAATTCCTAAATTTTTACGTTGCCACACCTCTGTTGTGTTTGGTTTTGGAATCCTGCCTCGCCTGTGCGGCTCAGCTTGTACACAAAAGGTCCCTTGCTGGCCCGCAATCCAGCAGCTCGTCATCTCCACCTACAAAATCCATTCTGCCCACAGTTTGGCATAGCTACCCCTCTTCTCACACCTACACTTACTCACTCAAGAATATCAGCTTTGGCATCTGGTTGCTACAGAGCAGAAACATTTGAGAGGGAGATAAGAATGGGATAAGGAGGAGAGAGGCTGAAAAACTGGAAATGCAAGTCAAAAGCTAGGTGGATTTTTCTTGGTTCCTCTTACCTTCCCCTCCTCCCCAGAACATACCCCATCTCTCTCCTCTCCTCTGAGCCCCCTGCTTGGGAACCCTGGCACAGCCAAAGGCAATAGTGAGTTTATACTGTCTCCTGCACTCTCAGTCTCCTTTCTCAGAAACTGTGTTGAAATGACTATTGAACGGTGAAGAAGAAAAATGACAGAGCAAGCTTATTTCTCCCCTCTCCTCTGGGAGCATAGAATAAAAATACAGGAACAATTGTTTACTTTCTGTCTGTTTAAATTGATTTTTCTATGTTCATCTTCTGGGGATTGTTGAGCTTGTAGAAATCAGTGGACTTTCACTGACTTCAGATTGTTTTCCTCTTGCATGGGAAAGGAATGAGGTGATTATGGAATAACTCCTTAGCAGCTTGGGTGTGACTTGTTCAAAACAGTGTTTTGATTAGAGGCTTGCAAGATATTTTTTTTCCACTTACCCTCTCCATGAACAATGGTCACTAGATTTGTGGCAAGTAACAAGAGAAATTCGTCACCATCCCATGTTTGGCAAATTTGAAAGTGAAAGGCAGAAGATTCAGATGCAAAAAGCCAAAGTTTATGGTATAATTTTTTCAGAAGTACTTCCTTCCCTTCCTCTTTCCATTCTCCAGAAAATCCGTAACACCATAATGATGGTTAAGCTGCAGATCCTGAGCTTAGGGATAAAAGAAGTAAAGGGACAGTGGTGATAGAAAAGTGGAAAAGGAAGAAGGAATTAAATGAGAAAAAATGGTACAAATAGGAATAAAACATTTCTCCCAGCCTTATTCCACATTTTAATGTAACTGCAAAGCAAGATAGGGTTTTTTTTCCTCTTTTTTAAACTTTTGTAGAGGTAATTCTCTCTTTAATATGAGGATGTGTTTTTTAATCCTTTACATAGGAGCAACCTTCTGTGATAGAAGAATATCAAAAGAGAAAGCAGAATACTTTGATATGCTCAATTCAGCCTTAAATCTATGTTGGAAAGGCCTTCCAAAATTTTCAGACAGGTTTTATTTCTCCATTAATATATGACATCGGTAGTTATAGGTGTTTGGCCTGTACCTTACTATATCTCCAAAGGGACTGTATCAATGGACTAATAAGTCATGCCATGTCAAATCTTATGATCAGTTTTATCTCCAGAAGGACAGAAGTGTATTAAAGAGGTATTAAAAAGATGCAGGATGAAGAAAGACCTTTGCAATAGTTTATAAGTAATTTCTATCTAAGTCCCTGGGAGCAAACAAAATGTAGGAGAATTAATTCAATTTTGCTCTGATTCAGGTATCTTTAGCAAGCTCTCTGTATGATAAAATGTATCATCCATTAGTGCTCCCAAGGCACTTCTGCTTTTCCTTTACATTAAATATGATTTAAGTACAACCAAACATATTTCTGATTTTCCTTCACATTCCAGTGGTGAAAATCCTAGCCTATTATTTCCATGTACTGAATGGTTTTCCTTTCATTTTGTTTTGTTGTTTTTTACCAAATAGATGAGCTTAATTTATTGGGAAAGCGAGGATGTACTTTCCAAATAAGGGGCTGTATTCACTTACAGAACAGCAATGAGTAACTGCCTTCAGAAGCATTTTGTCCCAAAGTAGAACAGTCCTTTACTTGCCTGTTCTCTCATACAACACTTTTTCACAGGAACTGATGACAATTTAGAATTATTCCCTTGTGTAATATAAAAGCCATGGAATGCATGGAATGCTAGGGAAGAGAACATAAACTTAGGAATTACAATGATGCTCAATAGATTATGGTCAGTAATGCTGGGAAAAATATTAGGTTTTCTGGAGTAGAGCAGAATTACATCCTTCTGTGTTGTACTATTGCATTTTCCAGATTTAAATTAAACAAACAAATCAAAACATACAATGTCTGTAGGCATCATTTTCAGCGGCTTGCTGTAGTTACGCAGTTTGAACAGGTTTATTGTCCCATAAAGGCACATTTGCATCACGTAGCTGTGTCATTTATAGTTTTCCATTAAATCAAAAGGCTGCACAAGCTCAAACTTCATTGCTAGCTAATAGAATATAATTCTAATTTTACAAGGTGGATTTGATTCTGTGATCCTGTAGGAGACTGGAACATGCAGCCCAGTAGTATTTTGTCAGATCTGGGAAGCCTTTTGTTACCCTTTTTTGAGGAACGCCTCATCTCTGATGCCATGAAATATGTAGAACATGATGATCAATGTTTTCAAAGCTAGTGCTAAGGAAGGGTCCCACAGAACAATTGTATCCCATAAGATAACCACATGCCCCCCTTCCTTCCTGATTTACAAGCTATGCAACACAGTGCAGTTTTCCAGACTCAGATGTTCTTCCCTTTCACTTCCTGAGAAGGAAATGCTCAAAATGTTTACTTGCTGTGATCATGGACAGCGTTTCCTTTCAAATAGGAAATGATACAACTCAATATCAGCCTGTAATCTTTTTTAAAATGACCACACCAACATGGGTCTCTGGAATCATGAAAGACTAGCAGGTGCATTCCACACTGGCAACAGTCAATAGTTGATTTAATCCTTGGTACTAATAAAATCCTCAAAGTTGCATATAAGGAGCCCGTGAATCCACAGCCGTGGGCTCCCTGGTGTACATTAGTCTCTGGCTACGCTTGTGCATTGTCCTGGAATACTTAAGACACTCTACCTACTCCAAAAGTCCAAACATAATGAACACCTCTTGTTTATCACCAATTAATGGCAGTCTTTTTAAATGACTAGCACCATCCTGCTCAGATTATGCTATATGTCACTTCAGATGCATGCCACAAAATAGTTGCCTTGGAGGGAACGGATTAAAAATTTCATCTTCAGCTTGGGGTTTAGTCAGTGCCGCATGACTGCTGTGAGAAGTAATACAGCATGTGTCCCAGCCTGATGTGTAAACACTGTGCAGGATTAACAGGCTGCTGCTCACAAGAACATGCAGCCTCTGTATGCTCTCGGCTGGAGGTGGACGAGGGTATGCCTCTGAGAGAGAATCAAAATACCTTACAGGGGAGCAACTTGTCGTAGCTTGAATTTACATCAGTTCTTCCAGATTTGATTGTTTTTTTCAAAAGCATACAAAAATTAAATGGGATAGTTTTTGCTACCACATACTGTTATAATTATAGTCTCCTAATGATATGTAACTAGGTTTTCATGATCATCGTGATGTTTATGTTTATCCAAGTCTAACCCAAGCAAACAAACATTGTGCAGCATCTGAGAGGCTATGAAAGTACATGAAAAACCACCTATAAAGCAATTGCAAAGTACATACTAACCCGCTTCTAAAATAATATGATGGCATAAACATCCCAGAGGTCTTACTGATCTTCAGTACCTAAATGCTAGAGTGCTTTTAATAATAGATGAGTGAGGCATAAATGCCATGTAATACTGCATTATCCTAAATAACACCTATAAATTGCCATGTGTAACATAAAATTGAAATATGCTAATGGAACATTGTGTGGATTCTTCCCAGTAAAAGCTGTCAGGAACCTGCCAAAACATTAACACTGACAGAGATGAATGAGTTAAATTAGTTAATACTTAAGAATATTGCTTGTCTGTTTTTTTTTCACTCTTGTTTTTGCAGCAGGTTCCCTCAGGCATTTGTGGTTGTGTTCCAATTCCAAGCATTGATCTTTTGCACAAAGACTTGTCCTCCTGAGGTCATCTAGAGTCTTTCCATCATTGTTCTCCATTCTAGAAGCCACCATTTTACTCATGTTGTCTCCTCTAGCACCTGTTAGGTGTTTTATTTTGGCTTACCTCCTGCTGGGACAATGGCCGTCTCCTGGACTGCCGTGGTGTCTTCATCAAGATAAGGGTACTTGGGTCTTCCAGTCATCTTGAGGGCCTAAATATGTCATTGCAGTGCTGTTTCTAGGCTAGGTTTAGGGTAAATAAAGTATCAGATGTAGGAATACTATATTCGGATGGAATGAAGAGAGTTGTGAGTGAACCATGGCCTTGTATGCTATAAGGAAAACTGTTCCGGGAAGTTGTGACTGGTGGTTAGTGCATTGGTCTGCCTTGGCCCAGAGGAGACAAGAGCTGTGGCACAGATTACCACAAGTGAGGAAGCGCAAGCAGTTGAGTCCGCTTTTAGCTTTGTTCCTATTTTTAATAAAAAAAATTTAGAAACTCCAAACTGTTTCATAAGATTAAGTGTCTTCTAGCCAGTCTTCCTCAAATGATTATAGGTGTTTCATACTCAGGAAAACACAGAGAGTTCAATTCTTTTTCTGGCTGTAGGTACAGATGGGCATTTACCCCACTGCAGGAGACATGGGTGTTTTCTTTAAGGGTAGTTGATTTTTAACATGAACTGTGCATTTCAGGTTGGAATTGTTCAGTATGGACAGACTGTAGTCCATGAGTTTTTCCTGAATACATACTCAACAACAGAAGATGTGATGGCTGCAGCCACGAGAATAAGCCAGCGGGGTGGCACGCAAACTATGACAGCCCTGGGAATAGATACGGCAAGGTAAACTCACAAAATGTTGTCCTGCTTGTGGTAGAAACAAACATAAACAGATGTGGTGACAATTCTGATTTTATAATTCAAAAATATGATGTGGCTGACATCTGACTTCATTTTAGCTAAGCAAACAAAATTTAGGAGCAGGGTGGATAAACAGACTCTGTCCAGCATGGCACCCTGGAAAGGCAGCTGTGCCTTGAATGGAGGAAATAGGGAAGCAAGGTTGTAGTCCTAAGCAAACGGCTGACAATCTTTGATGTCCACACAGAGCAGGTAGGAACTGTGTGTGTAGAGAGATGAAGGAAATTAAGTTTTTCAGGGGAAACAGTAAAAAATAGAACTTTTTAATGTTAATTTGTCTTCATTCTGAAGTTAAGATTATTACGGGGTTTGAGCCCACACTTGTCAGAAAGCCTAGAAATTTTATATCTGAAGTCTTTAAAGCTTCTGGATCATTGGGAGATTAAAAATCTGTTGTAGCAATAGCATTATTTAGAAATGCTTCCTTTATGAGAAAAATGAGATCTCACTTCTGCAGAACAGACAGTAAATGCAAAATCTCTTAGAAGCTTTCAAACTCTACAATGTTGTCCTGGTATCTTTTTTTCCCCACATGACAGCATGACTTAATTCCATAAAGGATGGCATTTTTCCTTTCCAAACAACCATTTAGTCAAATATGCAGCATCTTAGGAACTATTTGATTATCTGATGAAAGTCTTGTTTATATGATGTCTTAAATCCAATGAGATTCTTCCATTATCACCAGTAATGTTTTCCTTAGATATAAGTAGAAGCTTAAGGGAATCCGAACAAGTTAATGAAAGCAGAGCCAGTTGATAATTGCCAAATACTCAGAAACCACATGTGGCTCAGAAAGTCTCTGTGCATGTCAGACTACTGCAGGCTTATGTATACAGAAACTATCAGCAAAAGCTTCCTCTGTTCTTGCAGTCTTCCTATACATCCACTTTAGGCCATCATCAGCGGTGGATCTTAGCTTTCACTTGTGTGGCCAGTCTTAGAGTTCTGAGGTATTCTTCTAAAAAGAGGAAGCCCTACTTCCTTCCTTCTCCTCCAGAGCCCTAATCCAGCCTCGCCTTTTCCGATCCCCTCCACAGCCTGGGTGAGCAGCTGCCCAAGACCTCAGTGCCTGTTTGCCCTTCTGCAGCTGTAGAATTCAACCGGTCACCCCCACCTGCCTCCACTCACTTGCAGACCTACTTCTGCCCCAACACCCAGTTTTACTGTCAGTGTGCAGAGGCGTGCTCTTCCTGAGTAAATACTCTGACCATTTGAAATGCTGTTGTAGGGTGGAAATAGGTGGGGTTTTTTGTATGTGGGTTTTGGGATGAGGGGGTGTTGGTTGGGTGGTTTTTAAGTTGCCAAAAACTGTTTTAAGGTGCCAGGTGTTTATTTGGAGAGGGGAAGAATTTTTCACTATCCAGCATTGTATTTTCTGCTGTTGCTCTCAAATGAGTGATTAATGAATGAATGCTTGTGAAACCCTCTTGTCTGTGAACTGTCATGTAAGTTCCAATTGTTGCTGCTTGTATTAGTTCATGGTTAATATTAATCTCCTTTTCCTGCTTCTTAGTTAATAGTATTTTAGTTTACAGTTGACTATGCAAATATAATGCATGTTCTAAATGCTGACATTGCCTTCAAATGCTTTATGCTCCCTTTAGGAAAGAGGCTTTTACTGAGGCTCATGGTGCACGAAGAGGAGTACAAAAAGTAATGGTTATTGTGACTGATGGGGAATCACATGACAACTACAGATTAAAAGAAGTGATTGATAATTGTGAAGATGAAAACATTCAGAGATTTGCTATTGCGGTAAGTGAAATTTAATGGGGAAATTCAGAATCTTAAAAGCATATTTCATCTTCCAAATGTAATTTCTGTTTTAAAAGTTCATTTCACAGAATCTTTATGGAAATATAATCATTTCAGAGAGCAAAAAAAAAAAGAAAGAATCTGAAAAAAAAAATTTGCTTTCTGATTTTATAGCATGTAAGACAAAGCAATCTATCTGTCTTCCTGGCAATGACAGGTGTGAGTGCCTGTGAAGAAGAAGGAGAAAGAGTTTTGGGGGCAGTATAAAATCAATCCATTTTGTTAAGAGCAACATTGAACAGAGTGGATTAGTTCAAATCCTCTGAGCAATTTCTATAGATGCATTACCTACTTTAAAAAAAAAAAAAGCAAATGTAAGCCATCAACAAAAACCAGGTTTATTATGGGTGTTCTGTGTGCTGGCATTCTAAAGCTGTCATTTGCATGTTAAGCAAACTTAGTAGCTGAATGAGAGGATGAACATGATGGAGGTTAACCCAAATCAAGAAATATGGAGGCATTAATGATAGATTTGGTGTGAACTTCCCACTGTATTTGTGTATTCTATACTCAAATTATGTGGTTTCTCTTGCTAATTTTGAAGGTACATTGGATTGTTGCTTCTCCGTTCCTATCTTTCTTTGGCTTGGTACAATGAGGTGGTATGGAACCATACAACTTCAAGAAAGATGTTATCTTTAAATTAAAGATAGACATAAATGCTGAGTCCAGCAGCACACAATTTTTCAGTGTTATCCTTCATAAAGCTAGAGATCATTAAAGAAAAAGTCATCCTTTAAGCTGCAATAATTTTTAGCAAAAAAATCCCTGTCTAGAACCAAATTTGAATTGCTCCAGTGTCCCGGAATGCTAGAACATGGGAGGTTGCTTTTTATTTTCTTCTCAAAGCAAATTAAGTGTACAGAGCACTTTTTTCTATGAAAAATACTTGTTGGTCTGGGAATTGAGTCATTCTGTTCTGAGGCATCCTGAATTTTTACAGCAGTGGTGGTAAAACTGCAAACCAAATCTAAATTTTGTACTGTGATGGAGTTGTTAACACTGAATGCAAGTGGTGTTGTGTCTGCACAAAAAAAAAAAAAAAAAAAAAAAAAAAGCATTATTCTATGCCTAATTAACTTGTCATTAATTGCTCAGGTACCATGTTATGAGGAGAACTGGTGGTACCTATGCAGAAGCCAGCACAATTGTGTATTCTGGTTTGGGTGGTGTTGTGTTGCTTTTTTGCTAAATTAAGGGTTACTTCAACAAAACATAGAATCATAGAATAAATCATTAGAATTTTATGAAGAAGGGAAAAAAAAGAACAGTTGAGGATAGCAGACATTACACCATACAGTTGTTTTGTTTGCTATTGTTGATATTTTCAGAAAAACAACTAAGACCTCATACAGTTCTGTTCTCATTGGAAAAGAATGGTTTTAAATCAATTTGAGGGAGGTTTTAACAAAACAAATTAAGGTTAGATATTATTTCCCATTATTGTGAGGCTTTGGTCTAGTGGAGGGTGTCCCTGCACGCAGCAGGGGGGTTGGAACTAGATGATCTTTAAGGTCCCTTCCAACCCAAACCTTTCTGTGATTCTGTGATTCTCTGACAACTTGCCTCAAAGGTATCCTTTAATACAGGTTATAAAATGTATCTTTGACTTTTTTTTTTCTTTAAATTGTCTTTAGATTCTTGGCAGCTACAGCAGAGGAAATTTAAGTACTGAGAAATTTGTAGAGGAAATAAAATCAATTGCCAGTAAGCCTACTGAAAAGCATTTCTTCAATGTCTCAGATGAATTAGCTCTTGTAACTATTGTTGAAGCACTTGGAGAGAGAATATTTGCCCTGGAAGGTATGACATATATTTAAAATTTTACTTCATGCCGTATTACAACTGAAGCAAATAGAAAGCCATGTGATTTTATCTTCCTTTGCGATGTTTTGTGGTGCATAAAATGTATTATGTGGGTATTTTGTTCATACTGATCATAAAAATGTTTTACAATAGACATCAAAAACATAGATAATGATGTGAAATATATTCAGATGGGTAAGAGCCTGTGGAGACAATAGCCTAAAAGGGTAAGTAACCATTACCAGTTCTAGCTGGGGTAAACATGAAGTTGCCTTCCCTTAGGTAAAAAAGCATTGCCAGACCATATCCTGATTACTCCACGATCATGTGTTCATCTGCCTATACCTTTAGGTTCTTTTTTTGGTTAGTTATTAATTACAGTGTATTACGTTGCTATACAAGTTAACATGGACTTGGTGCATAGAGTTGACAACATATATCTTTCCTTTGGAAATGTACGTTATACTCAGATTTTAGCACAGAAAAGTCATTCTCCTATAATGTCTGCTTACATTCTCCATCCAAATTAGGCCACGCTATGCAAATCTCCATTTGTTCCAAGCACGCTACTGGTAACAGAAGACTGAGTTTGTTAGTTATAAATTATACTGGACAACTCTGAAGAGATTTGTGTCATACAAAGAGAACATCCATCTATTTGGACTTATTTTTTTCAACATCTCAACTTTCCAAGTAACTGGAAAAGTGTAGTTTACAGCTGAAACAAAAGATAATGTTGACTTGAAAGACAAGAAATAGTACAAATATGAGAGAGTATTTTAAAGTTTTTTAAATTGGAGCTATATTTCTCAGACATATTTAGGTATTTTTTTGTGTGTATCATTTGGCTTGACCAAATATTACTCTTTTCAGCTGACTATTACTAAATATTTTTTCCAGTTTATATGTTCTTTTCTTTTTACTTTCTAGAAGATTTTGTTTCCTCACTTTTGAAACAGATTAATTTGAGGAGAATTTACTCTCGCTAAAGCCCAAAGCTTAGCCTACTTAAGCTCTTTGAGTACTTCAAAGTTCATTGAATGGGAGGCTCTTTTGTTAAGTCCCTGTTAACTAGGAAGAATACACTTTCAGTGGAAAAATAGTTGTTCAAACAGAAATGGAAAACTTAGTCTTCAGTTCGTGCTTTGTACTTCTATAAAAATGAGAAAAATCATTGTCTTTCATTAGTAGAATAAAATCTAATGGAAATAGAATGAAAAGTTAATCAACTGCTAGTCATGACAACAGGCAAAGGATATAAGACCTAACATGACTGAGTTCCTGGACATCGCGGTACAAAGCGGTACAAGGTTTCATGCCATAGCTCTACCCTTTGAACAGCCAGATGCCACTGGAAGACATGGTCGCGCTTTGTCAGACTCCACCTTGTCCCTTTTAGCAATCAGTAGCCAATAGGTAGTGCATGAAATCCCAGCCTCCAAATCATGGAGTAAATTGTACTGGCTTGAACTTCCTGCTGGTGGGGAATGCTTTATATCATGAGCTCTGATCCTTCCATTGACTTTATTAATTCATTCCTCTAATTATAAAAAAAATAAAATTACAAAACATTTGAACATTAAACAAAGTCTGTAGCTTAATAAAATACCCAAAAAAAGTAGTCATATTGATGGTGGTGAAACTAACTGCTTAATTAAATTGTATAAATGTTATCTGTTTATATGATAGTCAGCTCTTGAGATGACTAATCCTCATCATCACGTCCTTCAGTATTTTGGTACTTTAAGCATATTGTACTTCTTAAATATCAACAAGTTCTGCAGCACTCCTTGAAGCCAGCTTTAATTTTCTGCAAAAGATGCAATAATAAATATGTACTTTTTGGATATTATTACTTTTTATTTAATGTAAACCTATTACAAACTGTTAGAATATGTGTGCTTTGATATATTTCTCTTATTTTCAATTTTTATTTTATATAGACTTGGCTGAATTACAGAAAATATATATTTGAAACCAAATATGTGGAAAACTATTTTCACCACTCTCAGGAGGCTTCTTGATATCCAGATTTTCAATAGGAACTCAGAGATGCGCTAAGGTTTCTGTATAAGACACCCGTGACATGAGACAAGAAATGTTGCCTCCTTCACCTGTGAAAGTCCCAGAAATCCCATCTTCTGGGAAGGGAACCAAAATACAAACTGAAAATGGGATCTTAGCTTTTTGTCAAAACATAGCAAGGTTGAGTTGCTCCAATGGGTTGGTAGGGCTGGAGCTAGAAGATGCTGACTAAATCACTTTCTGACGATTCTTCAGGCATGGTTTCCTGTCCCCTCCCAAAGCATTTCAGGAGTTGTTCTAGATTTGCAACTGTGTCCAGCTGCTTGAAATGGATGCATTTTTGTGGTGGGGGAGAAAAGCAGATTAATTCTGTCCCACCCAGCTTTCTGGTGACAGTTCAGCTTATTGGATGTGTGCAATGTGGAAAAGATTAATTAACACCATACATTGTAGCTGAATTAACTTCTGTTACAGGAACCTTGATTCTTGAAATTCTGTATCTGGATCTGTTTAAATTCCCAATCTGAATAGCCTCTTGCTAGTATAGTAGTACACTTGAATTTTTTTTCTTGGATTTCTTGTTTTCTTTTTGGGTTTGGCCTTTAAAAAATGCAAAGGAAAATTGCAAGAGATTTGAAAAATCAAATCCAACAAAAACCCATACTTGACAGCCAGTGGATTTTTCCACTTAATCTTTTTCATATGCCTCTGTGTCTCATGGCATGGACTTCTGGTTTTAACAGCAATTTTATGTTTTATCCAACCCGTAGGCAGGCACAAATGTTTTTACACAAAATATCCTTTGTAGGATGCTTGGCAGTTTGAAACTCAATGGAAAGTTAGACTGGGGGCCATTATCTAAGCAGCATTCAGAGCTGCACACACCAACAGTACTGGCATTGTCCTCTGCCTCAGACTGAGAGAGTCCTGTCTTTCTCAGCTCATTAAGGAGCATCCTTTACTGCTTGAAAATATTGTTTATCAGCAAATGTGCAACTTAAGAGTTTCATGCTTAAAAAGGGCTTTTTCAGACTTTGCAAAGCAGCTACATCTTGTGAAACATGATTGCTTTTGTTTGTGTGTCAAACATTTTGTGTTTGAGATCATGTCTCCTTCCTATGACTGGCTATAAATCCCAATAATAAGCAAAGACATCATGTCCCAGGGAGCAACCTCTGTGGTTTAGTTGCTGAGTATCAAAAGTTCAGTATTATTTAATAGTCCAGATGCCTGAAATTCATGCAGCCATGGCTTGCTATGCCTCAGTTTCATTCACACAGTTGGAGGTTCGCCTCAGCAGTCAGCTGGTAGCAAATTGTGAACTCTTCCTGGACAAACATCAGAGCAGATGCCATAGTTCTCCTCTACTGCCCATTCCTGCATGTTACTCTCAAGGAGGAATCAATATGCAGAATATCATTACCTTACTTGTGGTGCTTAAGGTGGCAAAACAGTCCTTGAGTGTTGCTTTTAAGTGCAGGAAGAGGTAGACCTTTCTCTTCCCTGATGATATTTCAAGTGTGCCTGGGAGCAAAGCAGCCCACCAGAGTTTAATAACTAGCATATGACTACCTGACAAGATACTGAAAGTAGTACTAAATCACCTGATACCTTTTTTATTCAAAGTCATTTAAGAGAAACAGGAAGATTTTCTTGTAACTTTCTGGACAGTATTATAATTCCCAAGCCCTTCCCTGAGGCTTATGAATCTTGGACAGTTGAGATTTTCCTATGTTGTTTTTTGCAAAAGTTCATACAAACATCAAGTGTTTTTCATTTAAAGTTCTACCAGCTGCCTACGAGTTTTTAGTTGCTTGAATACAAGGCCAGGGTTACATGGCTGGTGTTTTATTGTTCGCTTAGCTCAAGTGGAAAATGGCTTAACCATATTAATCAAACATTCCAAACATATTTACCATCAGCCTGAGGTCAAATCTGGTCAGTTTTAGCCCAGAAATATTTCTTGGACAAATTCTGAGACATGATCTTAAAATGGAAACTCTCATACTTAATGGTAGCAGTTAACACCAATCTTAAGTTCTGTATTTATTATAAACATCTATGGCAAACTATATTCACTGGATATTCTAGTGAATTACGCTATCCTTTACTATCATATGAGCATTTTCATTACACTATTCAGATACTTTTTGAGATTGAAACTAATCTATTTTTGAAACTTATTTTTTTTCTGTTTAATAGCAACAACAGACCAGCAGGCAGCCTCATTTGAAATGGAAATGTCTCAAGCTGGTTTCAGTGCTCATTATTCTCAGGTAAACAAGCTGTTTGAAAATAGTTCTTTTACAAAGTACATTTTTGTTGGTGATGGCATGAATATGCAATAAGTATTTCAGAATTCTTTGTAAATTCCTGTTTGCTGTTGGAAATTTCCCATAATCCAGTTATTTTTTGGTAAAAAATTATGTAAAGAATGATTATAAACAATGAAAGCTTAACAGAATAAGTACGTTCTTCACATGAACTATAAATTTAATGCCCCCATAGCACTTCCTATGAGGAGAACAGTCTGTAATATGTTAAGAAAGACAGAGAAAGACAAGGGAAAACATTTTTAAATTGAAATAGGGTAGATTTAGATTAGATATAAGGAAGAAATTCTTCATGATGCGGGTGGTGAGGCACTGGAACAGGTTGCCCAGAGAAGCTGTGGATGCACCATCCCTGGAAGTGTCCAAGGCCTGGTTGGATGGGGCTTTGGGCAACGTGATCTAGCGGAGGGTGTCCCTGCCCATGGCAGCGGGGTTGGAACTAGATGATCTTTGAGGTCCCTTCCAACCCAAACCATTCTGTGATTCTATGAACTATAAGACTGTTCTTTATGAATGTTAATGTATAAATTGATATTCCATTGTATTGGTGAAATTTAGACAGAAGATACATATAAAGGATATTTCTGTCGTGGATGTGATCTGCATTATTAGAAACAGAACATATTCTTAGTTCTGTTAACTCACTGAATATTTATTAAACTGGGATACAAAAATCCCTAGGAATTTGTATTAGCAGAAAATCCTCCCTATGTATTTTATTTATTCTTGAAAAATCATTGTGATTATCTGCTCAGTGTGCACCAATGAAATTAAATTTTAGCATGAGATCAAAAGAACTGGGAAGAGTTAAGTTTTAAAGATACAAAAAAGTAGTGACAGTGGAAAAGAACACAATAGGAGAGTAACTGAACTGAACAAACTAGCAATCCAAGATAAACTGACATGCGTAGGAAAACCTGCAACGTGGCTTTGTATACAGCTCGGTGTATCACTGGCAAAAGAGACGATATAAAACCTTAGTATGATTTAACATAAATACTTTATTGCGGAAGTACTTTATGTTCATTTTTACTCTCTGCACTATGTTATATATGATTCTTCAGAGGGTGTATCAGACCTTAGAAACAAATACTGTCTTGATGGGGAGCACGAGGATTATTTGTAAGATTATCTATTTGCTAGAGCATACTCTTGAAGGTCACAAACAACTGACTTGCTATCATCAGAACCTCACTTCAGGAGTGGGTCTTCAGTCCTTGGTGCATTGACAGACTCAGGGTCTCTGCTGTCTGTCTTACCTAGAAGGCTATATTGATGCCTTTAAGCAAGAAAGATCAGCAAACCATTTCTCATTGACAAAAGGCACTTGCACAATGTACAGGACGCACAGAGTCAACAGAGTAAGGTTCAAGTTTCCAAAAGTTTGTCTGGAGAATGCATTTAAGTGTTGTATTCTCTGATTAGCTTTGCTAAATCTCCCTTTTGTGTTTCTATTTGGCCTGGAATGGTGGCCTGAAGTTGTAGGAGCTGTGTTTCATTATGCTGCTTTTCCTGAATGGCCCTTTTTCTTTTTCTTTTTCTTTTTCTTTTTCTTTTTCTTTTTCAAGTTGGGTGCATTTTTAACAAAAAGTGGGAGACATACTGTGATTGTAGGGGCTATACTATAATAGAAAAAACACAGCTACATATGTAAGCATACAGGAAGCATTACCCAAATGTGAGCATTGTGATCAATAAACGTCTAAAGATGGTTCACGTAGAGAACTGGCTTCTTGTTTTTGTCTGCATAAGGATTGGATCATGCTTGGAGCAGTTGGAGCATATGACTGGAATGGCACAGTGCTCATGGTGAAGGACAGTGGTATTTCAATGCCAACTAATGACACTTTTCATAACAGGCTTTCAGAAAAAAATGAACCCCTTGCAGCCTATCTAGGTAAGAGAAATAGCCCATCTTACAAAAATTTTTGACAAATGCTACAAGACCTCTCTCAAATCTCATTCACAAAGACTATCTTACAGAGTATTATCTTATATTCTAGGAGCCTGTGGAAATTTATAATGTATGGACATGTCTACTGTATGATTTTCTTGTTCTTTTTTAAAAAAATACTACTTCTACAGTCAAAAAACTAGTACAAACACTTACAGACCTAAGTGTATCTAGACTTTCCCCAATACAGATGTCTAATCTCTTCAGAGAAGATTTCACAGATTCCTCTAGTATTCTTACCAAGTTTTTCTAACCTTGATAGTTAAAAAGTTTTATATAGTATTCAGTCTAAATCTTTGCTTAAAATTAAGCTGTTTCATGTCACTCAATGGACAAGAACAACTGTTTACCACTATCTGTTTTATAACGATGTTTTGCATATTGGCAGGCTATTGGTTTCCTCTCAGCCTTTTCTACCAAAAAGCACCAGTGTCCTTGCTCTCTCCTCTAGGTCTTACTTTCTACACCTCATGATTCTGTTATCTTATTTAAGCCACGTTTTCACTGATGAAGAGTGAACACTAGAATAATTTCTTTTTTTTTTTTTAATTAAGTACACTGTTTGTCTTCTTTGCAGAATGCCATTAGCTATTTTTTTAATATCTCAAATTTGGTAAGGTCATTTTAAATTTAGATCCTACATTCCATAATACTTGCAACTCTGCCACAGTTTTCATTCATCTACAATTTTTTTAAGTCTTCCTTCACCCAAGTTGTTAAATTGTTGTTAATATTAAGCAGCTCCCCCAGGATCACATTTGGAAGAATCCATCAGTTTGACAGTGAGCCAGTGACAACTGCTTTTTGAAAGTAGCTTTTCAGCCAGCTATTTGTGAGTTGTTTCATCAGTACCATCATATTCTTACACTGTGTGAGAATGGCAAAGTGAACATGACTCACCAGCCTGTGAACAGGTTTAATAACACAGTGGTGCTCCTGACCCTGAGACTGTAGGCAAATATACATCCAGCCCTTTTAATTAAATCTGCTATTACTCTCTAGCATAAGTAGGGCTAAACATCTAGTTGTACAATAAGCCTTAAAAAAGCTCTGAATCACAGCAAGTATTTCTGGTGCATTCTGTGTGTACTGCATCTTGATTTCTTTTGTGCTTCCTAGGATATACTGTGAATTCAGCATTGACACCTGGAGGTGTACTGTACATAGCAGGACAGCCACGATACAATCACACTGGCCAAGTTATCATTTATACAATGGAAGGAAGAGAGGTACAAGTACTTCAGCGGTTAAATGGAGAACAAGTAAGTATGCATTCATGATTAACATATGAGAGGAATATGTCATGACAAACGGGAATAAAGATTTCAAATGAGAACTCTACATCAGAAGAGCAAATGAACCTGGGAGTTGTAAGCAAGATCAGAAGGAAAGGTTGGGTAGATGCTCTGGTATAGTAAGTAATGGGAAGTGGACTCTCTGGTAGTCAGAGACCCTTGGAAATTTTCTCTTTGAGGGTTAAACCTTCACCAGTGTCAAACTGGTTGTAGCTCTCTGTACTTGCAACTAGCTAACTCTGGACTGTCTGCTGAGTGGAAGGGGTACATCAATGGCAGGAAACGGGTGTAACAAGCAGGGTTCTATGAGACAGCATCGGCTGGGATAGCGTGAAATATTGAATAGCCACTTGTTATATGAGTAACAGCTCTCTGAGGGCTGTTTCTGCAGGAAAAAAAACCAACATGTAATCACAGAATTAAAGATGGTAGTATAATATTATGCAGATGAGGGCTGAAGGATCTGCCTATTCGGGTTTCCCCAGGCTGCAGTACAAACTTCTTTCAGGAGAATTCAGGTTACCTAATTTTCACTCAGCTAATCAATCAATCCTTTTAGAGTCAATGAAAAAAGTAGGCATTTTTGAGGTTTGAGGGATCTGGCCTACTTGAAGCATCTTCTGTGAGATGAGATGCATCTTGCTTCTCATGTTGTAAAGGAAATACAGGGTGTCTAGCTTAGCTGTGAAGTATAATCAGATAAATCGTACACCTTGTACCCAGCTGATGAATGTTATCTAGCTGTTTGGGTAGATCTTGTTCCTCTGCATTTAGTGGCAACTTAGGGATTTTGGAGACTGCACTGTGTTGTCTCAGAGCTTTTGCCCACCATCCTACCTATTTCCCCTGGTAAGCCTAAGACCATCGATTTTGGTCCTTCTTATTGTTGGGACTGAAGAGAAAACTAGCTTCCCCAACACACTTCTATTCACATGTTGTCTTAAGAGGTTCTACTCCCCTTAGCAGGTAGAAGGCACCATTTGTACCTTTCATACTCAGGAGAGTTGAAAGTTGAATGGGCCATTCTTAAATAAAAAATTCTGACAACAAACCATAAAACAGAAAACAAGCTTCAAAGACAAACAGACCAAAAAGATGTCCTAGGTGGCACAGAAAATTTCTGCCTCATGGTTAACATTTGGCATTGTTGTAAGCAACTGTAAAACAGGTCTCTGAATAGGAAATGTTGCATGCTGTTGCTGGCTGTCTCTGATTTATACATTGTATTTTCCTGCAGATTGGGTCATACTTTGGGGGTGTTATTACCACAATTGACATCAACAGGGACTCATTTACAGACCTTCTTCTTGTTGGAGCTCCTATGTATATGGGAACTGAGAAAGAGGAGCAAGGGAAAGTATATGTTTATGGTCTGAACAAGGTAAGGATGATGATTATTGACCAGGTACAGAGCATGCTTTTTACTGTCTTCATATCCTTATTTTAAAGAAATATGATAATTAGAGTGGGGGAAGGTGACTTCTTGAAAAAAGAGAAACAGGATTTTGACAATTGAGGGAACAGTAGGGCTTATCCATCCATCCACTGTGCTCCAGTATCCTTGTGACTTGCTTACCAACCTAGAGCTAAACCCTGTACATCCAACAGCTTTTAACCATGTCACAACTAGATTGAGGAATATACCAGCTACACCTCAGCTTATTAATTCGGTAAGTCTCTCCTTCCAATGGCTATGCATACTTCCTCTTCTTTTTTTTCTTCTAAATATGTCCTAGCAATGATGATCTCCTAAAATACTATTGCAAGAAAAGGACCTGAAGAGACTGGATCTATTTGACAAGGAACTCTTCCAGTTTCTACAGGCATGTTGCTAACAACAAATTACTGGTGAATGGGATTGGCGAGAAAACAAAAATTCCATATCCTCTAGTAATGTGAGGGTTTGAAATCTGTTTTTCCTGTGCTTTCTTTTATACATCTCCAAATAAAGGAGATGCAGCAACTGCTTGCTGCTGCTAGTCTCCAGAATGGAACTCCTGGGGCCAATCTCTTGGAAAGATTGATTACATACCATAGTGTATGCGTGGTTTTGGTCTAGGATGCTCATTGGACCCAAAGAATATATATTTTAGGCCGTGGAGTATGTGTCTACTGAAGACAGAATTCAGTCTATGTAAGAGAAATGCTGTCTTTTGTTCTGGAATAAGAATATTACCATCTGTGTTTCATCAGAAACTTGGCTTACTTCTTGGATTAAGAGAATGCCTTTAGAAGAACTCTTTACACTATCTTAAGAATGAAATGGTTTACTTACAATAACATCCAAATATTGTTATGACACTATGCTTTCCTGTGAACCTCTAGCTTCAAGAAACATGCAGAAGCATCTAGATGCAGAAAGAGAGGGAGCAAGAATGTCTTTCGCACCCACTGCTCAGAAAGAAGGTTTGAATTATAGTTATAGAATCACGGTTTCTACAGTGCGCTCAATCACTAGGAACAGGATGTAATCATTTCATTTAGTTCATCAGTCTTCTGGACAGGAGCTCTTAAAAGCCTGCATTGCTAAAATGTTGATGGAAAGCCATAAACTCTAACTCTGTTCTTTCACAGACAAAGTTTGAATATCAGATGAGTCTTGAACCTGTAAAGCAAACGTGCTGTTCACCATTAAAACAAGACACCTGCAAAGTTTTTAAGAATGAGCCTTGCGGTGCACGCTTCGGGACTGCAATTGCTGCAGTCAAGGATCTCAACCTTGATGGATATAATGACGTTGTAATAGGTTCTCCCTTAGAGGATGATCATCGGGGAGCTGTTTATATTTATCATGGCCATGGCAACACAATCAGTAAAAAGTACTCTCAGGTATGAAGTAAAACTTTACAGATTGGCAGGCACTCTAAGTATATGTAGAACAAATCCTGTTTTCCCATGTCTTTCCAACATAGAAACAAACTGTGACTTCACCTGTTATGACAGCTTCTTTTTTAAAACGCCTCGTACTTTTAAACTCAGTTTGATTTAACTGAATTTAACTCTAAAAATGTTAGAAAGTATATTTGCACATTTTTATTAGAAACCTTCTGAAATGTTCTGTAAAGCCAGAAAAGTAGATATTTTGCAGTTCTGAAAATTTATAGTAGTTCATCATCATGGTAACTGTTTTAGGAGTATTGTAATGAAAATTTAATATATTTAGAGAGTCTAAAAGCCATTTGACTGCCAACAAATGTGTCTTGAATGTTCTTATAAAATCATTCAATATGCACTGCATAAACGTCTTAATGCTTTTCACAGCGTATTGCATCAGGTGGAGATGGGGAAAAAGTGAAATTTTTTGGCCAGTCCGTGCATGGAGAAATGGATTTAAACGATGACGGGCTGATTGATGTCACCATTGGAGGCCTTGGTGGGGCTGCCCTCTTCTGGTAGGGATACTCACAGCAGCTGTCAGGCCAGAAAATAACCATTTGTCTTGGGATACCGATGTAACTTGAATGCACAACTGTTTGGACTGTTGTGAGGACACTGGTTTCATCTCATTCTTTGACACTGGCTGTGAATCTTCATATTTTCATGTCTCTCTGGAGGAACGAGTATAAAACCTAATGGATAACACTAATAAATATAGGAATGTTTTAGAAACCTTATTAGCCTAGTATGAAGACCTTGTCCTCCTAGACCATATTCAAAATAGAAACAGATTCCATTTATGGCATTAAGTAAAATCAAAAAAAACCCCTAAGTGTTCTTTTTTTCACACTATATTGCATATTATCTTATTAGCAATATCAAGGACAGGTTCAAATATAAAGGGATCACTAGGAAAGCTTATTTAATGAGAAAACTCTAGTTTGACTCCCTACAGAAAATCTTGGAAAAAATGAAATAAACTTTCTGGTGAACTGTGAATTCATTTTCTTTACAAAAGAGTGTGATTCATAAGGAGCAGTATATTTTTTAAGGGAGAAAAGAAAAATACTAGTAAGAGAAATAAGCAAGGAAACATGTAATCCCTCATTTCTAAAGAACAGCTAAAACCATTTCTTTCACTGATAAGGCAATTGCTAAGCCAGCTCCTTGCTTTCCCTGTCCTGCTGTTCCACCTAACTCACCTGCTAGATGATTAAATTAGATGGTGTTTAGATCACAAATCTGAAGAAAGCTATTTTGCCAGCTAAATTTTCTGCTGGTTTGGTGCACTGACATACTCCATTTCAAGGCCGAAATGGAACTGAGCCAGAGGAAAGGGAGAGGCAGCAATGCCTTGCAGGGACAAGGGCAAAGGGAAGTTAAAGTGAAGCAAATTGGTGGTGAATCTCATCCTGTTTATCTATCCACAGCCTAAGAGATGGCACACCACCCTCCAGCTCACGTCTATGTTCATCTGTGCATACCCTTCATATTGGGTCTGGGCCTTCAGTCTCTTTAAATTGGGGCTGGCTGCATAGAGTTGCTTAAATGCTTTTGAAAATATTTCCTTTCTTCTGATATCTGTTCTGAAAGAAGCCACTGTAGAGAAACCCTGTGACCATTTTCTCTGTAATTTTTGTTTACTGATACTATATAGAGAGTGTATAGTTATTTGTCTAGACCATCACATGTGTATTTTAATGTTGAATGTTGCACATTTTGTAAGTTCATTCTTAAGTTAAAAAAAAGTTGCTGCTGTTATTTTCAAGCCACTTTCTCTCTTTGTGTTTTTGTTAAGGTCTCGTGATGTGGCTGAAGTAAATGTTTCCATGCAATTTACACCCAAAAGCATCAATATCCAACAACAAAATTGTCAGATAAATAAAAGAAAAACAATATGCATAAATGCCACAATTTGTTTTAAGGCCAGACTAAAGTCGAAGGAAGATATATTTGAATCCAGTAAGTAGATAAGCACTCAGCTATGGAATCTTTATGCTATAAAACTACTATGCTAGCATTCGTTTATTTCTCCAAAAATGGAATGCAGCTCTTCTAAATTCACTATTCAAAGTGCATTTAAGATACTCAGGGTGGGGGAGAAAGAATGTGTAGAGGAAAATTGGTTCGTAATATTGATCTCAACTTCCTTTACAGGTCTGCAGTATTGGATTACTCTTGACTCTCAAAGACAAATATCTCGAAGCTTGTTCACAGAAAGCCATGAGAGGAAAATGCAGAAAAATATAACTATCAAAGGGTCAGAATGTATTAAACATAACTTCTACATGTTGGCAAGTAAATCATTTAAAGTGTTTTTCTCATGTTGACATTTTAATAACCAAAATGTATTCCATTAATTGTAAATTGGACAACTAAATCTGCATCCAAAATTAATTTTATGAAGTGTACATAAAATTTGTACACATCCTACTTAGGATTTAGTATTCGTATATGTATATATGTATTTGTATATGTATATAGATATAAACTATTTACTTATATGTACAGTCTACTTACCTTTGTCTCTTTGTTTGTGTCTGTCTCAAGAAAGAGCATAACACACTTAGTGGAACCAAGCAGCGAGTGCGGTTAATAGTTTAGGTGCATTCAAAATGCAGCAGAAGCATGTCAGCTGGAAGTCTAGTTTGCATACTGGTACAATTCCTCCTAAAATACAGTAAAAAAGCTCTCAAATTAGGTTTTGGATAGAGAATACTAATTCACTGCAAAACAGAAATGTAACTGGCAACTGTGAGTATGAAATTGCCCAGATTGTAACTAATGTGCAGAGTGAATGGAGGTGTATATTATAAGGTACCCACATTTAAAATGTTTAGTGATTTCACAGTTGTATCACAGTTCAAAAATAATGATAAATTATGCCTATAATTTGCTTGAATATGCAATATATCTCCTAACAGCAGGCCTCAGTTTGACTTCACACAAGGTGATACTGCTGCTGTTCGTCTTACTGATCCTTTAGCAACAACTAAAAGAGGAAGGTCTATTAGTTGACTGTTCTGAGACATGAAATGAAAGTGTGTTGGATATGCCTAGGCTATGTGACATTTTTATGATGAGATGAGACACATAAATTTGTAGATATTTATAAGGATTCACTTGCACATTAAATGCTTTATTATCAATTGCAAGCATTCAAATGCTTCTCTAACAAGGATGGCGACAGTGTGACTGAAAAATATTTTACGTCAGCATTGTTTGATTATTTTTTTTAACCTTCTTAGATATTAAAGTGAATGTTCATAACAGTAATTTTGTTTTCTTTATGTTCTAGGATAAGCCTGACTTTCAGGACTCTGTAAAGGTTTTGCTGGAGTTCAATTTTTCTGATCCAGAAAGTGGACCTGTTCTTGATAGCAACCTGCCAAATTCAATATCCGAATATGTAAGTCAGCAAGATTCTGTATTAATAACCAAATTATTTAAGATAAAATTCATAGCCCATACAAGAACTGAAAGTGTTGTCCACAAATTGGCTGAAGAGGGAGGGTCTTTAAGCCTGACCAGCTGTTTCCTTTAAATGAGTCTTCACAAGTGAAAAGCTTGATTCAGTGTGCTTGGGAACCAGCCTCAGGCTTTGAAGCTGTCCAGAGTTAACTGAAGATAGAAGAGAGTACAAGCAATTTTATTTTCATTTTTTACATAGATAGAGCAGGGGAATGTTAGTCATATACATTGATGGTGCTTTGGCATCATTCATACTTCTGCTATTGCCTCTTTTCTAATCTAGATGAATCACGTAGAGGGGAATGAGTAGAAAGCGTATGTTTCACCTGAGCATTTTACAGGATATTGTCATGTTTAACTTACTAATATTAGGAAAGACTTTCTTTGATTGTCAAACAGAAGACCTTATATAAAATTAGATAAAGAATTAAAATGTAAGTATTTCATTTTAATAATAAATGCAATAAAATTGAGAATAAAAATACTATTGTTGCAGATTCCTTTCACAAAAGATTGTGGAGCCAAAAACAAATGCATTTCAGATCTTGTTCTGAATGTAAAAGCAAGCATAGCTGGAGACAGGTAACTACACTGGGTTTGTTGCATCACTTGGTATCTGTACAAAATTTCTATGTAAATTATAAATTCTGTAATCTAATAAGATAACACTGTGGCATAATTTCCAAATCAGAAACAATATAGTCTGGACACGAAAAGAAGTGCCTCTTTATGTTAAAAACAGATTCAAAAATTAAGACGTCCAACATTCTTACTTTATTTTACAGCTCTTCTCCATTCATTGTAAAGTCACGCAATGATAAGTTTACCATCCAGCTCTTGGTGAAGAACAAAAAAGACAGTGCCTATAATACCAGAGTTTTGGTTCAATATTCTCCAAATATTATTTTTGCTGGCATTGAGGTAGGAATTTTCCACATTATTACATTTATCATAACCTATATTGCTAGAGAGATCTAAGGAAGCTTTTTTATTAAGCCTGAATTTCACTACTTTGACATCATCTCAGTTGATTGGAAGAGATTCCCTAGGAGTGCTGTCCTTGGTTATCCCTCTGAAAGACTGTATTTACTTTGACCTGAGTGGACTCTTGCTTAGCCTTTGTTAACTACAGACACAAGTTTCACAAACACACTTAGACTGGAAGTGCCTGCATCTTAGACAAACGTCAGCACCATGAATCATCTGGACATCAGTAAAGCCAGAAATGCCTCATTATTTGTCAGTAACAGCTCCTGAGCCTCTAGAATTCATCTTTTGCATGTGTATAGAAAAAGTACTGTCTTGGTAGGGCAGCATATATCAGTGACTGCCTCATCCTTACCTCAGATAGTATTTCCAAAGTAGCTGGTTTTCTGCCTGCCTCAGCAGATGTGCTATGAATTCACCTCAGTTTGTTTTCTATCTACTGTCCTCACGTTGCATATTATGAGAAGTTAGGGATCCGTAGCACTATTTCTGACCCTGTGGCAATAATTTATGGAGTATGAATGTCACTTTTTTTTCCCAAGTTAGGAGCACATTTACAAAATTACATGTAAAGACTGTGTACTTATCCATACGTTGATCTGCTAGACCGCATGACTGATTTGCATGATGTCCAGTTTGTGTATAATCACTAATGTTCCAAACACTCACTGGAAGGGAATAATGGCTGCTAATCGATGTAGATGTCCATGGGTGGAAATTGTTTTGCAGAAGTTGTGGCTTCATATTTTTCTTTCAGTTCAGTTAAGGCTTTGATTCTTACAATGTTTTGATGATGAAAAGTGGCAATGGTATATAAGTTCAACAGGCCCTTGATGCTTAGTCAAAATTTAAGAAGAATTTGCACAAGGTCATGATTTCACTTTCTTTTTCCTTTAGGATATACAGAAAGATAGCTGTGAATCTAATCACAACATCACCTGTAAAGTGGGATATCCATTTCTAAAACCTGCAGAAGAGGTAAAAAGTCACCCTGCATGCAAGTGCTCATTGCTGCATGTTGTTCTAAGGCCAGGACAGTCCCTATCATGTCTGAATTTCTTTTCTCTTGTGTTCACCGCAAAACCTGTCCCAAGCTATCCTTGACATGAACTGCACTGAGCCAGACAGGAAAACGTCAGATCCTCAGTACCTGGGGAGTCAGCTATGGTATCTGAGGAGGTAATAGGTGCATATTGCCATCCTTTATGCTTTCAGAAGGCAAGTGGCACACCTGGCCAGAAGGGTCTGTCTCCAGGTGTATAGGATATCAGTTAGGAGATGCAGATAAGACTTTAGATACTGTGGCTTTCCATATGTATAACTATAACTTCAGTTATTTTGTACATAAAATTTAGTCAGTTGGTTGAGAACAGAATAGGGTGGTATGTGAAATGCTAACCTGGGTGTGCCAAAGCCAGTCATCAAGACTTCACCTCTGCTGAGTGGGGAGTGAGAGGCCGTTCCAGCAAGCAGTCCACTTACAATCGAGCTCCAGCTTGCACAGCTCCAGTGATAAGCCTGTATCTCCTGCTGGAATACAGAGGGGGCTGTAGCTAAACTAAGCCTTTGAAAGTATGCATCTAAGCCTCACTTAAATAGTTCTGATATTGAATTGGGAAATGTCAAATTGCATGGAAATAAGACCAACTGTCTTTCCTGGCAGTTTCTTGTCTGTTCCTCTGTCATGTCAGGTCTGTGTTGCATAACAGAGGGAGGATCAGGAGAGATGGGAATGACTCCCACATACATGTTCCAGGTTGTGTCTTGGACTTGTAAGAATTAAATCTGTTACTGTCTTGCAGCCAGATAAGCATATTACCCACTGCCAGTGCCTACAATGCTCCATTCCCAGCTTTACTCTATTTTTCTCACTTTCCTTTCATGCTTTGATTGTTAGTTTTTCTGTAGCTATTTAGAAATTTCATACTCTCCTTTGCATTCAGAAATCAATTAATCTCTGATTCATTAATAAGCATCCCTAATACATTCTTTTTTAAAGTCTTTTCCTGTTTGTTTGTTTGTTTGTTTGTTTTTTAATATGAAGAAATAGCTAAGAAAACTTTGTCTGGGTCACTTTGTAATAAAGATTTGTACACATTAAAGGAAAAATAAAAGTCTGAGCTGAAAATCCTGTACAGTAACAAATAGTAAACCTTTTGGTTCATATAAAATTACCCTTAAGTGTTAGGATATGAAGAGGAATATGTTTGGGACAGTGTTCCCAAATTTTGTGTAGTGCCAAATTATGACAGATTTGCCCTAGTTATAATGAGTAGGGAATTTTTGTGAGACCTAGTAGTAATTTGTTTACATTGTAAACATTTCTGTTTGGTATTCCAGGTGTTCTACTGTATATTAAGTGAGATTCCAGCAGCCTTCTATAGACAGCTCATCTCCACTGTAATTGCTAGCCTTTGAAGCTTTGTTTCTTACTCATTAGAGAAAAAAAAAAGTTTTGATAAATTGCTTGCAAGACTAGTTGGTTTAAGAATTATTTAGCTATGTATTTCTAATATACTATGTAATAAGTTTTACTGAGGCTTCTCAGTTCTGAAAATTTGAAGGCTTTTGTTTAGTAAGTGATAACTATTAGATTTCCTTCTTAGTGGGACAGATTCAAAAAAGTGGATTCATTCATAGAAAAGTGTTAAAATGTGAATAAGGATTCCATAGATAAAAGGAGTAAAAAATTGGTCATTTTTCATCAGATTAAACCTTATTAATGTGCTTTTATTTCTTTTGGGTTTTTTCCCTTTAAAATGTGTAATGTATTTCTCCAAACAGATTTCCTTCAAAATATCATTCCAATTCAACGCATCATATCTCCTGGAAAATGCTACTGTTCATGTATATGCAACAAGGTTAGTTGCAATCATCACTTGTTTACCTTCCAATTTTTTTTTTTTTTCTTAGAGAGCTCTGCAGCCTTGTGTTTCGTGGTAAAACAAGGATGACTTTTCTGAACTCAGAAGTGGTTAAACAATCTGTAGAGCTGGCAGCTGAACAGATGTACTTGGTCCAGCAGTGGAATGAGTGGATTAAATAAATAGCTGTTTGTCTCTAGAGTCTGAGAATCATGAATGAGTCATAATTTCCAGTAGTTTTACCTTCAGAAAAGGTTTATTCTCTTACAAAATTACTGTGTACTTTAACATGAATCACAGTATGCTAAACAAAAAGGTCTAGCCTTCAAAGAGCAAGAGCATTGCAGAAGTTGTCTGTGATAAAGGAATGCACTTCCCCTCAGCGTTTGCTGTCCCTGCAAAATCCAGGGATGGTGTGAGAGTAGTGGCCCTTACTTGGTCCATTTTCATTCAGTGAACTGCAGTCTGTAATTTTAACAAAGATGTGTCTTTGAGCTGGGACTTAACGTTTCAGTTACTGGAAAAAGTCTTTTGAATTCATTTTTAGGACATAGTAATTAACTGGAACAGAGTAGTGTGTTTTCATACCCAGAGCTGTAGGTATTTCAGTTTCTTAAGATCCCTTCCCACCTAGTCGTAGTGTTGCGTCTGTACAGTCTGACCTGAGTGGCATATGTTGTTTTATTTTAGTGACAGTGAAGAACCCCCTGAGACCTTGCGTGACAACAGAGGACACATTACAATTCCAGTAAAATACGAAGTAGGATTAATATTTGTAAGGTATTGATGCCTCTCTGTACTTTTATTTGCTAGCAAGGTAAATAGCAGGTGTTCAAATAGAATATAGCATTGTTTTGTTGTTGAGCTGTGCTCACTATCTACCGATAACAGCTTCTAGGCTCATGAACAGGAAGCACAGGCTTCATTGAAAAGAGCAATTACATGAAATAATGGGGCAGTTACTGCCTCTATGGTGCTGTATCTCCATTTTATCTATTTAAATTTGACCTGCAGTTTGCAAGTACAACAGGAGCTTTTGTTAATTCTTGTACTTTGCTCTGTTCATTCAAAGGTGTTTCAGGTACATAAGAAAGCAAATACTTCCAGCTTCCTGATGGCCATGAGTTTGTATCACTATAACATTGCATGGTGTGGTGTTTGATCTCCAGCTTCAAAAATTAGCCTTAATTTTAGATTCTCAGGGATTTGCTTTTATCACTTCAGACATAGATTTTAATGCAGGTCTTGTAGTACACTTTATTTTCAGAAATAGCTAGAATTCAGTTAAATTTCATTCCTGAAAAATATTATAAATATTATCAGTAGACTACATTGCATGGTGTGCAGGTGTAAATAATTAAGTCAAATTCATTTTGGATGCATTTCATGGTTCAAATCCAGCCTCTTTTTGTCTCATAGAACATGCTGATTTTTTTCTGTTTTTACTTGGTTCTGTTTTTTATAGGACCCTACCTGTTTCACTCAGGATAAGGGACTGCACAGCTAGAATAAGAATAGCAAAATCAAGCTCTGGTGTATTATTTTTGGGAACAATATTTGCTTATTTTGTAGTTCTATCTGAACAAAAGAACAAAAGATTTTAAAAGTAGGTAATGAGAAGTGAGGACTACTCAGAAAATGAATGAGTTGAACTTCAGTGGAAGAAGCAGTGGTCTTCTACTTGCAGGACTAGGCTTGGAGGATTAATGAAATAATGAAAAAAAATATTATTAACTGCTAGAGTTTTTATGAAGTTTTGTGCTTATTGGGTTTTGTGTGTGTGTGTGTTTTTTTAATCCACAGTGTGTTCAAAGAGCACCATGTTATAATTGCAGCAAATGATACTGTCCCTACTGCTATTAACACAACAGAGCAGATTGGGGATGAGGTTACTCTACATTATATGGTAAGAAACAATTAAAACTCTATCATACAGGTACTGGCTTCATTTTTTTTTTTTTTTTTAATTTGGTTTGAATCACTTAATATGATAGTCTATTACTTAAATAGCAGCTATGAAATCTGTTAAACCTTCTACATGGGTATTTTGTGTTTAACACCTTTATTTTTCTTCTTGCCTCAGAGTAAGTTGAATCAGAGGTTCTCAGAGTGCTATGTCCTCATGGAGTAGCTCTCGTGGGGTTTAGAGCTACGGCCCTCAGCAGGGGAAAGAGAGCATGCCCTAGAGAGAACTTGACCTACGTTCATTGCAGTTTAGAACAGATATTTCCAAAATCCAGTCAGCTTTGAAAAGGGCAAATACCATGCTCCAAGAATGTTGTCTTCCTAATGGAATGAATACTGCAAACTAAAATCACTTGGCAAAGATTTTTAATGGACTAGAAGCCCAGCCTCAAGTTGAAGTAGGACTGATTTTAGTTATCTTGAGAGCATCATTGTTTCCCAGTGTCAAATCCAAAGCTGAACAAGGGTCCCATATACAAAGGATAAAAGTCTCTGAATCAATTTTTATCTCTAAAAAATGGACCATGGGAAGTTCTTGCTTTCACTAAATAGCAATGGCAAAAGGATATATTTTTTTTCTTTTTTTTTAGCCCACCTACAGCTTTTTTACTCAGCTCCTTTTCTTAGTCCAAAAGTTCAAGGCTAGTAATCTTGAAGCTTTTGTGGATGTTTAAGACATTATTCATCTCATTTCAAAGCCTTTGCTTTCTGAACATAAAAGCTAGTGGTCTGCAGAGTGTACCATTTATGAACTCGTAAGCAAAACTCATCCCTGCAGGCAGCTTATCACAAACAAGTAGTCAGTAGAAAAACGTTAAACAGGTTTTTGAGTATTTATTAAGCTCATCCACTTCAGAGGCAGGATCACCAATTCTCAATCCTTGGCCACAGGAGGCCTGTTCAGAAGGAGCAGCAGGTTACAGGTATGTCCTGTGATCTTCTCAGGGAAAACGGGAGAGGGGCAGGTGAGCAGGAGGGCTCTGGCCTCAGCACACCTGAGGAGGAACTGGCAGGAGCCACTGCTGATACATAGGCTCCTCTCCCATGTTAAAGCATTTGGGGAGCTTTATTAAAAACTGAAAGGAAATGAACTTAAATAGAAGTCCTAGATGATAAGAGGATGCAGTAAAAAAGATAACAAGAAGGAATTTATGTCAGAATGGCTCCTTTCATCCTGTTCCTTTGATTTCTTTCGATAGAGCATTGTATACCAAAGACCATAGAAGAATGTGTTTGCTAATTTATAACTGACTGTTCTCAGGGAAAAAGTAAGAATTCATCACACCACTTTTTGCATAACTGACTGTGGAAACATTAAAAAAAACACAGAAGAAAAGAAAAACACAGGAAAGGAAAAAACCTCACAATCCCATACCAACAAAATAAGGAAAGCACTAATCAAAACTTTTTTTTTTTTTTTAATAGATTGAAAAAGGTGAACACTTTCCAATGCCAAACCTCACACTGCAGATTTTATTTCCCAATGTAACAGCAGCCAAGAACACTCTTCTCTACCTTACTGCATTGTCACATTCCCAAGTAAGCTAGGAAGTTGTGTTATTTTTATGATTAATTTAAATTTGAAATAATTGTTGTAAGGAACTGCAAAATGCAAACATTTGGGATTATGCCTTGCTTCAAGGTAGGTATTACTTTTAGTCTAAAAGACAAGATGCTGGGGTGTTAAGAGTATGTACAGATGCGCCTAAGAAGACAGAGAGATAAATTTTCTTGAAAGGAAACAAGCAAATTTAACATGGTGTTGAACAATAACCGGACTATAACAAGGTTAATTTGATGTATTCCCAAGTGATGAGAGGTCCAGACTGAGATATGAGTGACAGGAGTTTCTCTCTTAGTTTTGCCTACTGAGCCTCAGATTACCTCCACTGTCAGCAGTGCGTATTGCAAATGCTCTAGTCCTGCTGTGTACATCTAGAGGTTAATCTCCTGTTTAGTCCTCTTCTTTCTGTTACTGAAATTAGCCTTCCTGCATGTCTGCTCTTCAGCACTAGCAGTCCTCTGGCTTCTTCCTTCTCTGGGGCACTGAGACCTCTTGTAGGGGATGGTAGGTCATGTCTTTCAAATGCTCTTCACTGCAGCCATCATTTGAGTTTTGCCATTTCACTCCTCAAGAGCAGCTGGAGGAGATACAATTCAAGCAAGTCCCATGATTCCAGATTTGTAGATACTAGAACTAGAGCAATATCAATAACTGGATGACTGAAGAACCCAAATATCACTAAGTGGTGACATAAAACACTTTTTTAATGAATTTTTTATCTTGCCATTGGATACACACATGAGCACCTCTCTCCAAATATTTCACTTAGTTTTGAGGTGTTGAACCACTGAAAAAACAAACCAAATGGTCTAAGTGAAAGTTCAAGGTTCACTTTAAAACAAAAAATCCAAAACCCCCAAAATATTTCATGTTTAGAATACATGTCAAAATTTTGTCTGTTCTTAAATTCCTTCCCCCATTATTTTCATTCCTTGGCAATCATCATATTTGACCCAAGTTTGCACATAAACTCAACAAATCTATGCTTCTTCTGTGGGTATAATTCATCTACTGCTAGCTGCACCCTAGTGATAGTAGTCTGCCAAAATGTACTGAAGGGGATTTGCAATCTTCTTCATGCTAGCAATCTGAAAGTGGAATGACCTGACCGAAAAAAAACAAATGCCCCTGGACCGATGACACCAAAGGATTTCCCAGCTGCCTTTGAAGGAGCCATGGAGGTCTAGTGGTGCTCCAGCACCCACTCCCCTTCCCTGGGTGCTGCAACAGGGGCTCCTGAATCCTTCACTTAACCTGCCTCTCTGCTTGCTAAGGCAGAACCTCTGTGGATTCCCGTGCAAAAGCTATTTAGCTCCTTTAATAACCAACTCTTGCTGGTTCACATAGTCGTCATGTTGCAGGAAGCTCTTGTTTGCTTCTACAGATGTTTAAGTAGCTGGATAGAGTTTGAGTTAAATTATCTCATAAAAAGCTCATTTGTTGTTTGAATAATGATACTTCACTACTTACACCATCTGAATTTCCTATTCTTTACTCTTGCAATATGCAGTTTTATTGCATTTAGTGGTTAGTAAATATTATTAATGTTATTAAATATTTTTTGTAATAGATTGGATATTCAGACAATAAGAATAATATTTTTATTTATGCTGACAGAATGCCATCTGCCAAACTAGTTACCCTGTAGATCCCTTAAAGATCAGTGCTGGGAAATCATTTGTGTTGCCAAAAATAAAAGAACCTACAAAGGATACAATTATGGTAAGCCTACATATAGTATATGTATTCATTCCAGATATTAACCCAGATCTTTGAGCTGAGTACTTCTGCAATCAATATATAAAAGTTTCTCTCAAACTGTATCCTATGGAAACTCAATTTGTCTTAACAGCCTGAAAAGCCACCTTTATGTAGACTAGCTCTAGTTTTTATTTGGCTACAAAACTGCAAGTGGAACTGAATTTGGGGTATTTTGGTGGGGTTTTTTTTAACTTTAGCAAATGTGTAAATAACAGTAGCACATTTGACAGCTGAGTAGATCTTCACCTTCTATATTCCCGTTGTAAAATAGTAATATTTTAAAAGCTTCTCATCTACCTAAAACTTTTTTAGACATCTGATTGAAAATACTTTCATATGCTAGCACTCTGATCTGAGAGATTTTCCACACAACTGGTAGAAATGTAATTGACAATCCCATTTGGATAGAATTAGCCTCTCATATTTAGATGGAAGAGTTGCAACATAATTTTGCTGCCATAGTTATGTTGGCATGTTGGGTGGAAAACCATCATACTACCTCCTCAGCATAGAGGTACAAGTTGAGTTTCTGGGGCAAATGAAACCATGCCACAAGAAGAGTATTTTGCTATGCTTATCATAGTCCTAGGTCTAGGCTAAGTAAATGTTTCCAAAGTACTGAATGTAATTCGTCTGCCCTCCCAGCTAGCAAATGATACTGGGAAGTAAAGATACTTAAATTTTCACGCACACTTCCCTGCCCTGCTTGAAAGATTCAGGTGTCCTGTGATTTGAAAGGATCAGAAGCTGCAGAGCAGCCATAGCTGTGTTGGCAGAAAAACACTTGCTGTTACAGGCTGTGCCTCCTTTAGGAGCTCTGCTGATGCCTTTTGCTGCGTACCTACAGCAACAGACCTTCCTTAAGGCTAAGTGAGCCTGCAGAAACTGAGTCTGTTCCACCACAGCACAAATATCTCAACTCATTTTATATACTGTAGTGTCATTTTTTTTTACATTAAAAGCCCCAGTAATTAATACCAGTTTAGTATTGGTGTCATAGCAAGTCAATGATCTGTATATATAGTAGTTTACATGGTTTTATTTTAGTAATGTGAAAAGTCTCTTCCTATTAATTCATGCTGGTGCCTTTTAAACAGGACTGTGATACATACAGCTGTGCATCTATTAATTGTGCCCTGGTCCCATCTGACACATATCAAGTGAATGTTTCATTAAGAGTATGGAAACCTACCATCATAAAAGTGAGTAAATTGCATTTGTATACAGAATACTCTCAGGTTTAAGAAACTTAAGCCAACATTTCTGAAGTCTATTAAAATTATACCTTTCATTTTCTTAAGTCTACACAGTACCCTAGTATTTGAAATTGTTTCTCTTGCTATTTTAAAATTTCATCAAAACTAAGTTGCATGCATTTTATTATCCTTAAAGTAAGTACCTCGAACTTAGCAGGAATTTAAAAACATAGTAAGGTACCCCTTACTTATTCTGTATTGATGGTTCTTTTTTTTATGTTTATGTATGCATCCACAAACTCAGTAAATTCAGCAGATGTAAGGAGGCATACATAGAAGTATATCATTTTAAAATAATTTGTAATCTGGAAATATTTCTCAAGTCTAGAATGGAATTTTTGATCAAAAAGAGCAGAGAGAGAGCACACCTCAGTGTTGTCTGATAGTTGCAACAATGACCAGGCTGTGGTCTGTTTTGGTCAGCTAATAAATTTCTGACACTGAATTCCTTTTTGTGTCTTTGTTTTTTCTCTTGAGAATAACAGGACAGGAGGGGAGATAGAGAAGAATTTTAGAAAGTCCAAATCTATCCCTGTGACCAAAGTAGTATTACATGATTAATTAGTATTTCTTCGAAATGTCTGCTCTCTACTCTTTGAAAGCTGTATTGCTGTCTTGCAGTGATGTGTGTGTGAAGGTGACACACACGAGCAGCTTCAATGACTTTCACATTTTTCAGCATCTCCCAAAACTTTAGCATCAAGTTTTGCTTTTACCCTTCTCATTTCTACAAAGCTTTCTACTTCAAAATACCTAATATAAACTAGAGCCATTTCTCTCTTCTTCCAGGCAAGTATTCACAGCTTAACCCTTGTTGTGAAAGCATTACTTAGGAGTGAGAACTCATCACTGATTTTGAGAAATGACCATCAAAAACTGGAGGTAAGAACATGGTAATTCATGGATTTACTCTTCATAGGATTTATTGTGCTACTGAATTACTCATTTTATTTCATTACTAGTGAACTGATTGTTACCTGTTATAATGTATTACCCTACTCTAAATAAAAGTGATTTCATGTAACAGTAGAAATGTCAGATTTAGTCAGATGATGATACTAAAATCCCATTACCCACCACTGTACCTGGGTGAGAATAAGTACTGCCCAAAATATTTCTGTCTGATGCAGTAGAAATGCTTCCTACATCTATGTAAATTAAAAGCACAATTAAAATTCTTTTAAGGAATCAATAGTATTTTAAAAATTGTCCTGGATCATTTAGAAGTGATTTTACTTTGTACATTATATTGTCTTTATTTTTTCTTTATTTTTTCTTTATTTATTATTTCTTTCCACTTCATTACCCAGGATATATATGAAACAGGATCTTTTATTTTTCAGAAGTTCCCTGTCATTTTCTTAGATAAGAAAGTATATGGCGTTATAGTACTGGTGTCAGGTATGAAGAGAAATGTCTTTCATTTTGTTAGATTTGTTATTTATCCTTTAATACTCATGCTTCCAAGACGTTATAGTGGTTAACACATTGCTTTTCTGTGATAACTTGTACATGCAGGGGCTTCTATACTACAATGTACTTTTTTAAGCAAAAGTCTTATTATATGGTATTATTGTTATAATACTTACAAAATTTATAGCAAAGTAATACTCAGTGTGAATTATGTCTTGTGCAAAATATTTTTGGAAATACAAACATCACAGGTCAACTATTAGCTGGTATTGTACCCAGGCATTTAAGTGATAGGTTAAAATTCAATCCATGAGTCAAAACACAGCTGAGCAGCTTTCAGATATTGAGAGATGCCTTTACAAACCAAGAAATTTCAGAATTACCTTTTTTAAGACATAGTTTTGAGTTGAATGTTTAGTGTTCAGCTTGTCAATGCTTTTTTGAACTATAAAGTTATGTCTCTAATAAATTCTTAAGTTAAAATAATTCAAACTCCTACATGGTCACGTTTATTTAAATGTAAATATTCCTTACTACAGATTAGTTTACACCAGATATGCCTGTTTTAAAATCAAATTAGTATCTACACAGCATTTTACACTTACTTTATTTAATTGGTTTAGAAGATTTTTTAATCACTGACACCTTTCAGGGAGGCAGGCATTGAGTGATGGAGAATATACTAAAGAAACTCCCTAACATACACTTCAACTACTCATGGGTTTGGTCCTGTACCCTTTATAACAATGACTACTGATTTATAGCAGGGCCGACCCTCATGAAATGAATGTACTTAAAAAGTGTAAGGTATTATGTCAATATAGTGTTTCATGTTTGAGATCGTTTTCTCAATTCCCTCCTACAAATTCCTGTATTTAGAATGAAGCAGTACCCTGGAACATCACTGCCTACTGATAAAAGTCATACTGCTCGGTTAATATTTTGGAAGGACAACTTATTTATTGCTTACCTTCTGAACACTTTGCAGACCATGATTAAGATTTCCAAAGAACTCCCACCGGGTACAGTCCCCTTATGGGTTATCCTCCTGAGTATCTTTGCTGGACTCCTGATTCTTGCACTGCTTATATTTGCTTTGTGGAAGGTAAGCAGTACATTCTTGTCTTCATGAAAATAAGCAAATATGCTTAAATTCTCTGCCATGTCTTTCTGATAACTGGAACCTCACAGACACTGATAGTATCTAATTATCTGGTAGACATGACAAAATAACTAGTAACACTACATTTTTCTGATGTGTAACATGCAGTGCTAACCAACTGAAACCTGTATTGCCAGTATTTTTTGAAAAGAAAAATACAGAGATCTTAGTACTATTAAATGTTTATTAAGGGGTTTTTTTTAATTATCTTTGGCTGTGGCCTTTGATAACCAGTTTTTTTCTTTGTGCAAGAGATGCTAGGCTTGTGGTGTAAGTATTGCCACAAGTGGGCACTCTTCTGCAAGCTAAATATTTAGTTTGTACTTGCATTAGAAGGTTACAGTTTATAAACTTCAACGTGCATAAACTCTTGAAAAATTTGACATATGTAAAAGAAAGTATTATTTATTAAGTTGATTGCCAAATATTATTACACGTTTTAGCCTTTGACATTATGTGAGCATAACAATGATTCAGCAATCACTCACTATATGTTAACTGTACTCCTTTTGTCTGCTTTCATGACATGTCTCTTTAGTTTTTCCGTTCCAGGAAAAACAATGTTGTACTTCAGTGATAAAATATTAAATGACATTTTACTGTACTGACACTATTAAAATAGTAGTAAGAACCAGCACATGAATGCTACCAATATGGGTTCTATGCTTTGAGCAGTTCTTAGTCACTTTTTTCTTTTCTGCAGGCTGGATTTTTCAAGAGACCGCTAAAGAAGAAAATGGAGAAATAAAGAAAAAAAAAAAAGTAGAAATTTTTGCTCAGGTCTGCCTCAAAAATGTTACTGTAAAATTATAAACTTAGATATACATACAGTGGTCACAATGTTTTCTGAACTCTGGTGCATTAATGAAACAAGAAGCAGAATAAGAAGCAGCAAATCAAGCACACATGCAAGGAATGATGCAAAGGAACAATAAACAGCCTTATGACATTTTGTGATACTCAAGGAAATACTTTCAAGTGTTACTCATTTTTGGAGAGTAACTGGGTTCAAAGATTCTAATGGTTTTAATATGGAAAATGCGTAATCATATTTTTGTATACCTATGTATGTGAAATAATTTTTTCATTCCAAATTATTCAACAAGTCAGCTTTTTATGTACCAATCCCAGTCTTTTTTATCACCTTACAATTTTCAAAAGGAAAAAAGCATCATTTTCAAAATTTCCTCCTTATATCAGTTCTGTGAGAGCAGACTGTCAGTTCATCAAGTAGAACATGCAAACTTTGAGAATGCACCACTGTATGGTAACTAATGTAATGACAATTCAGAAGATAGAAGCACCTGCAGAATTTTGAGTGAAAATTACTGAAATACCTTGGATTTCTCTTTCTGCTCGTTTTAGTGTGTCCAGCTGAACCCAGGATACTCCAAGAAAGAGATTTTTATGGTCAAGTGGACCATAAAGGATTGATCCATTAAATTACATAACTGAACTTGAAACAGATTTTTGGCAGGCCTAAAAATGTATGCACAAAACATTCAAGCCCATCTGATTGCACACTGTACTTAAATAAGCAGGGGCACTATTGTATCTGCAAATTGAAATGTTCATATTTATGCAGAAAGTATTTAGAAGTACCCTGAAAGTTTGACTCTTGCTGTATATCTTGGAGTAGCCAGAAGGGTGCTTCATAAACTGTCACTGTAAATTTATCATGTAGCTATTTAATCCAATGAGTTTAAAGTGTACAAAATTATAATTAACAAAAGAGCACAGATAGGAAACTCAGCACTGGCAAGCTGCTTCTAGTATCATAAGTCACACCTCATCTTTGTTACTTATGAGTTTAAGAAGTGATGAAGAATTTGCATACTAAATAAGCACTTAACTAATGATGTTTATTTTGTGTCAAAGATTATAAGTTTATACAAGAATACACTGAAATGTAGATAGCAAAAGATTTCTTTAAGCCTATTTAGAACATTCAGTTTTCTCCTTTCTTTCACACACTTGTCTTCTTTCCACGAGGATCCCTCCCCAGGCTTTTGGGCTTTGCCTTGTCCTTGAGAGCTTCCTACGTTACTTGCAGCCACACAAAATTAACAGAAGAAAACGGCGGCATCCAGGCAAATTGCAATGTTGCCTCAGCATGAGATGACTTGATATTGATTGCCAACGTATCATAAAAGGTTGAGGAGCACTTCTATGAGACATACTTGTTTGCACAAATGCCTTTGCCTTGCCAGGGAAGCCAGGATAATTGTTCCTCCTCTTGGTACACATCTCTGAAATTAAAAAAAAACAAACCAAACAAACAAACAATCCCCCCCCCAAAAAAAAAAAAACCAACAAAAGACCACTGCTGTTTTCCAAAAGGTATTAACTTAACACTGATTTTATAGTAATAGTTTAGAAAGCAGCAGGAAGTGTAAACAACTCTGGAAGCGTGCCAGAAGGTGCTTTATTGTTGGAAACGTGCTGTCACTCATAAGTCCCTTCTATTTAGTTCCTAAATCAGAGAGTAGTTACTGGGAAAGGCAGCAAGTAGGATTAAGTTTGAAAGTGTTTGCAATTTCTCCTTTTGTCTGTGGGAAAGGTGGTTATTTCCCAACAACAGTCTGCTGAAGGTAGCAGCGTGACTCAGCGGAGAGGGCAAAGCCCTCCGTGGGAACGCTGTGGGTGGCAGTGCTCTGCGGAGCCTGGGGGAGCCACCGAGTCAGTGGGCTGGCTTGTGGTGCTCGCCTGCGCACCCAAAAGTGCACCCTGTCCAAAGGGGCAAGAGGTGAGTAGCTCTGGTTCCGAGCACGGAAGGAAGACTTGAAGGGAAGCAAAAAAAATGACATAGAGGAGTTGTGAATAGAATCCCTGCTTCATTCATCGTGCGAGTTAATTAGTCCTCAAAGGAAGGCAGAGATCCATTTGTTGAACAGCGAAGATAATATTTGCAGAGGTGTTTTCAGTTCCATGTGAGATGCAGGTTTTATTTTAAGAAAATGTATGATTTTGCCAATTTGCTTGAAAGATTTAAATGGCGTTTGTCACAGTCTGAATGCCTCAGCATTATAAACATTTTTTCCTTATAGTATCTCTGTAAAGGCATAGCAGTGCTGTATCCTATTACGGTTTTGTAAAGGAACAGAATTATGAAGGAATTGTGACTCACCTATGCACACACAGAAAGTCAGTGGTAGCAGAGGAAATACTTATATTTATTATTATTCAGCCAGCTTGTTAACCATGAGGTCATTTTTCCTGGCTTCGTAAAATTACTCACAAGTTGTGCAAGCCACACATCATTTTTATGCAGCATACTTTTATTTTGTTTAAGTGTTTCAGTTTTTAGTTATTATAAGCTGTTAACCAGAGCTTTTTACTTTTCTGTTGATATTTGATGTCTTATTTTAAAGAATCAGCCTAACTGAAAAATATGTCTATTTCCCTAGATAAAGACTATGCAAAAATACGTATTTTATCAATGCAAAGTATGTTTGAGATCAGTGTTCCATTCTTTTTTAGACTTGCTTTGCACTGTAAAAACAGTAATAAGCTTCATATAACCACACTGCTTTCCTCTTTGTCACAATGCTTTCTCCCTTTTCACATTTGTCTTATTATCAGATTTTCAATTATAATATCTATTTATAATATAAGTATGTAAAGGGGATAGCACTGTAGCACATTATTCTTACACAGGCTAAATCAGTAAAATCGCTATTTTTATCTATAAGACCCTTTCCACACTGCACTGTAAGAGCAGTATTTTACTGCTTTTCATTATAGACAACAGAAAAGCCTACTGAAAGCAATTTTGCAAATATCAGGAACATCTCACTGAAATTTGGCAGGCACAAAAAATATCAGAACAGCATGTAATCTGTTTTGTTCCAATAAAAAGACATATTAGGGTTGTAATATGATTCTAATAACTAACAAGCTAAACATTTTTTTCATTCTAATAAAAGCCTGTAAAAAATAATAATAATAAATTGGGTGTATCACCAGAGCTTAAGCAACACAGGCAGTCTGGCCCAGCTCAGTTCCTAACCAGCACTGAAGTAGCTAATCTTAGAGGGAATGGTAAAGCTATGTTTCATAGCATAGAACTTCTCTGGTAAGGAACAAGACCTTTGAACCATCACTTCTGCTTCAATTTGAGGCTGTTCTAGAGGTTGTTGATCCCATATGTAATTTTAGAAGACTTAGAAAAACAACATCTACATTAGAGCAATCTCCCTGAGCCGCTGCTTATGTTCCTGTGCTTGTCTGGTATCACTCCAGGTCTGTATTAAGAGCCCTTGCTACAGACACAACCCACCTATCCTGACCCTTACCTGAGCCCGTTAGTACATCTCCTGTGCTGAGCCATTTTGATCATGATGTTGCTCTTCTGTGGAGCTTGAGTCAGGGGAATACACCTGCAACTGGAGCCAAGGTATTTCATCTCACTTGGCACCGAGAGGCTGGAGTTCGGGTCACGCTCATCTAATGAATTCCACATAGTGTAAATGTTTTAATTTCTTGAATTAACTATTGTATAGGTAACGATCTCATTCAACAATAAAAGCAGAGAAAGAGAGCCAGAATGTACCATTGTTAATTATACCACTTAACAGGAATAAGAGGGGATTTGCATCCTTTTTAAGAAAATCACAACATTCTGAACAGCATTTTCTTTTTTCCTGTAAAATTATTCCATGTGTTTTATTGATTAAAAAAATATTAAAAGAGTTTAACAAGCCTCCTTTGTAGTTTGCTTTTCATTGATATATAATAGAATCACAGAACCATAGAATGGTTTGGG